CTACCTGATTACTTCTAACATCCGCAGTCTGAAGAAAGGAAAGCAGGACGCTGCAGTCACTCAAAATCCAAACTCATTGAATTTTAATGTTATTTGCTTACTGGAAACGGAAGCCTATATTGTAGATGCACTTAACCGAATACTCACCAGTTTTCAATGCCTCCAATCGCAAGTCTCCGCTGATTCAAAGTCCGCTACTGCCTGATGCACGGTACTCACTATTGTTCTGAGACGACAATCCAGTGGATATATTCATGCCCGGATCAATACCCATTGATAACTCCTTCTGTGCATTCAGTCTGTCCGCTTCTTCCCCAACAAACGATAGATATGGCAGGTTCAAACAGAGTGAGTCTCCTGTGAGGGCCGGCTAGAAGCACGGACATTGATGTGAATGTCAGAAACAGGGAGAGACTCATTGTGGTGCAAGATTTTGATTGGACTTGGCGTTTACGGACAGAGGAGGACGGCCGTTTCGGTACATGCTGGTCATGAACAACTTTAACAAATTACCAGCTTCCGGAATAGCCAAAATCATCTGACCACACAAAGCCAAGCAACTTTAAGCCAGTCACGAGTCCGAGTGGATCACATCATTATCGGTTGCCAGTCGAGCGAATCCAACGCTGACTACGTGCGGATCTGATTGCGCAGTCTTACGGCATCACTTTTCTCTATTCTACTGGAAGCCGCGCAAGCAGCGGGCGGCTAATTCAGAAATTTAGGGGGGGGGGGTCTCACTTCCTGAAGCCGGACGCTATATTCAGAATCATTTTTTGGGACTTCCTCTAATCACTCCACGGGGATGCGGCTACTGCACCTTCGAATTCTGCCCCGCCTGTTACTTGCAGCCAGTTCTACTCAAGTACAGGGTGCTAGATAGGATAAGTACTCATTGAATATCAGGTAAATGCGACCACTGAACCAGAGCACCACTTGGCCGGTAGGATTATCTGATACCGGGTGAAAATCAGTGAGTCAAACTAGAAAACTAAGATATTGCGGGCCATAAGTGTCGGAAATTTGCGCTTATTTCAGCTAATATGTACAAATCGGCCCTGAATATCGTCTGAGAGTGAGACCATCAAGGGTAAAGCTCGCTTGACTGTCATTAATGAAGAGGCCCTTCTCAAACAAGACGGAGAGCAATTTGAACAATACCTCTCTACGCTACGTATGAACCTAGGAAGATGAAACCAGTCCCAGAATATTCTTCTCTCAAGCAACCCGAACAAATATCCAATCTCAATGCCAATGAATACAAAGATCGTTAGCAGTCGGTATTTGTTTGACTGAATTTTAGGGATGGAGACCATCTTGAACACCGGAAGAGTCAGAAGTATGCTCATAGTGAATATGGTGATCACAAATGAATCAGCTGGATTTTTCTTTGCATAAGGCTCTTGGCATCCCTTTTCCTTTCGATGGTCAGCCAAGCACTAGTAAGAGAAATTTCGATGTGACCTAGAAGCAAAAGGCCCGGTATAGGCATATAAGTGTAGGCACCCTCTGTAAGCTTATTTACAGGCCCGTAGTCAAAACAATCCACCTTCCCGCAGATGCCGAGGACTGCAGGAAAAGGAAGACACCTTACATAACTTGAGGAACGAACATGAGGACAATCCTGGGTAAGGATGAAGGAGACAGGTTTGAAAAGTTCTAACGTGCCGTTGATCCAAAGGAACTCAAGCGTTACGTAGTGCAGAGGCCTCGCTGTTCAGATAAATTTGTCATGCTCAACAAGGTCTTTCACGCTTGGATGTGAGCCCAAATGCAGATCCGCGCGACTGCCTCAAAAGAATTCAGACTCGACACCACGGTGAAGCAGGACTGTTTTCCTGCCTCAATCCTTTTCGGCTTTGGTTCAACAGACATCTGACTTTCACTGCCGTCCCTCTGTTTACTTCGAAACCTCCCCTCCTCAAAGGATTGCAGTGCATGTTCAATGCCCGTATGCAGTTGTTTGCAACAGACTGCGCCTTATTTCTGCGTTTGCAAAACACTTTTCTTTTATAAACCTGCGTTGGTGTTCCAACATGAAACACCATATATAAATGAAGACATTTATGAATATATATACATATGAAATATATGGAAATCTCTGAGCATACATGCTACGGGGATTTCCGCTCTTTCGACTTGACACTCAATAATGAAATTAACGCATGAAATGCAAATGCTAGCGCCGTATTTGGTCACTTTGGAAAATTAGCCTGGAGAGCACCACCTGTGCAGGGAAATGAAGTTTGTGATGCACCAAGTTATTTTCCTTTCTTCGGGATATGAAAGCCTTAAGTGTTCCTGTTCTCGACCTCTTACACTTGCCTTACCTGCGCAAAACCCCGAACCAAATTGAATGAACTAGCCCCAAACACAGAAGTCAATCGAAAGGCAAACAATGTTGGATTCGACTGCATTCGGCTTTAGCTCTGCAGTGTATGCTAATTACAATGGATAACCAAAAGTCAATTGCCACAACAACTTGCCTACGCCGAGCTGAGGATTGGGGTTCGAAATATGGGACCCTTGAACTCCGACCATTGGGAAAGTCTTGGAGTAGGCTTGAAAACTTTATTCTTAATCTTGAGTTATGTGAGGATATGACCCTTAACATGAAGAATATCCATTTAAGCAGAACGAGGAGCTGTGAGACGTATCGTCGGAAAACAAGGTAGCAATTTGGAATAAGTTTAATCATCTCAGAACGTAGTCTCGTCCTTGTGAACTTAAGCAGCATGCGGATGAACGTGCCTTAGCAGGATCAGCCTTGTGGGGCACTAACGTACGTACCGGTCCACAAAACAAAGGTAACCACCGGGGAGCAAGCTAGATTTGTTCCATTTTGAAATCAATACCCACTCACCACTGTCGTCTTGAATAATACAAAATCAATAACCGCAAGGTTAATGAAATATCGTCAGGTTATTCATTATCACCTTAACGATATGCTAATTGGTAAGTTTCATGGTATTATACTGGAGAGTTGCGTTAATACGCTGAAACTGCAAGGAGCTGGTGAGTTATGACATCATTTAGAGGATAAACACGCAATTGGAGCCGGTGCCTATTGTTAAGCCATCATGTCTGGACAGACTTACAGCATGCGATTGGCCTCTTCAGGTTCGCTCACCAAGCTTATTCCCTCTGGCTTACATCGGCGTTAAAGGACTGCGCACAGCACCATGTTCTAGTTGGCGAGAGCAGTCTATGTCTCCTTACTATGCACAGGTATCCAGCGGTCTGGCCCATGTGCAGCGTCAACTCGGATGCTAACTGTTCATTAGTCATTATAACGGCGATAATAAAAAGCATTACAATCAATCCCATCTCACTTCGACTTTGTTTTCCTTCTAAACGAACGGGCTAGCCCTGATCATAAAAGTAAACCCATAACCATACTATCTTACAGTTGAAAATGAACCAAATATTTCCTTATTTCCTGTTGCACTAAGCAATCAGCATTAAAGCATGCAAGCTGATGAGAGTATTGGCAAAACTTGTGGAGAGATCGTTTAAAAGACACCAATAAACAAGCAGGTAACATCATGCGACACCATAACATTATGCATCCTTCTGTCTTGCAAATCAAGGATGCGTATAGAGCTGAGGAAATTGGACATCATTCGAGCTTTGGCGTGAGAGTTTATTTAGTACTGAGTCGGGTTTTCTTGCTAGCCACTGGATTCGTGGTAAGTTGGATTTTCGATATCGGGGTTGGGACACAGTGGTTGATAAAACTCATAAACGTTTGGTAAGTTATGCAGTTTGGGTATCACTGGCCTTTCGAAGATGTTGCGGTCGATAATGTCCGATTGCTTCATTGAGCGCTATGCTGAACAGATTCCCTTTTCACTTACTGCCACCTTGTGTTTTTCGCTTTCCATCATGACATTTTGATGCATTCTCAAGAGTGGATTAAATTTCTCTTAGAGAATCCAGTTCCTTTCTTTGGTCCAGTTGATAAGATAGCTGAATATTTCGGACTGTAACTGAGACCTAATCTAGAAAGTGGCATGGGTCCCGAAGGCAAACAAAACTCCCACAAACTAGTAATTTGGTTGTTTTGTTTCTATTTGAGTATGAAGGTGAGTGGAGCTAAAGGCTTTCCTGTTCTCCCTTTGTTTCTTGAAACAGTCTGTTCATCAGAATGATCCACACTGACGCAGTTCAAACAACCTCAAATCCATTTGGAACTCTCGTTTGTGGTATTCTTCAAATGGATGTGCTACACCAAGGCAGTTCATGTTTCAGTTGAAACTGTGTTCAGGATATAGAAGTATATTTAATACGGATAATGGGCTCAGGGTTTTCAGTTGACGTTATAACTAACATCCGTTCAATATAGAATCCGTTGAACTGGCCATTTAGACACTTGATGAACTCCGTACAGAAGTACTCAAATTTAAAAACTACCTCACCAATTTTCCAAGCAAACAAGTTATTTAGCAGACTACGATATCCGTCCACTTTGACAATATGACAGACATGGGCATGGACTGTTGTGAAAATTGCCACAGACTTACAAATAACTAGCAGCAATCAAAGACCAGTTGAGAGAGTCATGTGTCGTGCAGATTATTAACGCTTTTCAGTCGGTAGCATAATTGGTCCAATACCCATTTTGTAATCATACTGGTGACCATTTCGTTAGGCTGTCAACAAGTAACTGAGCTATAAGTAACCACAACAACGAACGTAGCCAGTCTGCATCAATTGTCTTAGGTTCGCTTAGTTTTCCCAATTAGTCTAATCCATTCACTCTACTTCAGAGTGAAGTAGCGGGCTGAAAACTACCCGCGGAGAGTACATACTAAAGCATAAATACGGTACCCTGCATTCGCTTGTTCGAGTGCAGCTTAACATACGATTTTAGGCCATAAAATAAAAATAAGAGATAAACCGTTCAGCCGTAACACCCTTTCAGTGCCTAGCTGCCACACCACCCGAAGGGAGCACGAGGGCTAGGATACTGCCAGCTGGCCCAAGCCTCGACAGGGAAGTCACGAGGGGGGGTCAGGTTCGGAACCACGTAACTTCCGGTCAGTAAATTCGCGCTCCAACCACTGAATCATCTCGGGCCGTGTCGCCTGATTGCGCTTTACCACCTATGGACCTATCGTAACCAGACACCGACCTGATGCAGACTGAAATATAGACTTTTTTGTTGAGTGTGAAAGTCGTTTCTCGATTATTAGTAAATGTCTTTGAAATCAGTGAGAAGCAGAAGCGAGTGCATTTGGATCAGCTGCCCAGAATGCACACCACCGTCCAAGCTGAGTAGAAAACTAATAGTTCATGATGAGATATATATGTCAAAGATAACCGACAACGGGCCAAAGACTGTCAGAAATGACGCAAAACAAACAAATCCCGTTCAGCATTCGATCTGTACACTGTTGGTAATCCCCATTAAGAATGAGGCAACCACAGTGCTTCTTGACTTTTCAATGTGGACTAACTTAAATTTGTAGTACAAATGCAAGGTGAGACCAGAGGCACTGTGCCTTAAAAACATTGCACATAAAATAACCGTAAAAAAATTTACGAAAACTCCAGTTCAGCGACGTTTCTGTTCAAAATACGGTACAATTCATTCATTAGATGCATTAACCGTGGGAGAACAGGATATCCTGGGAGGATAGGCAGCATAGAGCACGACGGAGATCAGGACAAGGCACGCTCCAATCAAAAAGCTCGGACTCAAATGAACGCCGAGGAAGAGAACGGAGTAGATACAGGATAGAACGATCGACATGGAGCACGCAAAACCCTGAATTGGAAAGGGAAGAACGGTCCTGTAAGTAAAATGATCCCAACTATCCTCAAGTATTCGGTGTACACGTCACAACAACTCAAGCTAGTGAAGAGATTTGATCACTAGCAAACAAGCTTTTACTACGTACAGAAAATGGATCAAAAACGTGCGAAGAGCGCTCGTGAGGTCTAAAAACCCACTGAACGATACCGGAAGTGAGGTCAACTTAGGTTATCATTCAACAAGCCCGGTACTAGAAAGCCTCGGCAAGAAAATACGACGGTCCTAGGGAAAAATAAATAGTGGAGTGGATTCTAAGCCAAACGATGTCCACATCTAGTTGCGACGTGATCCGTCATACTCTACTTTTTTCCACGGTCACCTAACTCTGCAAACTTAACAGCTCAGAGGAATAGAGCGACATAAGCGCCCTACAAACCCCAAGGCATAGCAAGCAGTCTTCCGTAGACTTAATCAGAGATATTTAGACACAGAACAAGGTGAAGAATGATTGTCGAAAACTGCAGCTTTTTTTCAATGAAACTGGATGCAGACACATGGGTAAAAACGCATATGATAGGAAACAGAATGTACGGGCGGTTGACTATTATTTTATCTAAAAGAGGTTAGAGACGAACATGGCGACCAGCTAGCATGACCACACGCGACACATTTAGATAACACTGTTTTGCACTGCAACCCAAAGCAGTAAAAATTCCAAAATAACAAGATTTCCAGACTGAAAACCCGGGTTTTCAAATTATAGCGGAAAGCGGCTGGAAAAATGTGGGCAAGGTCCTACTTCCCACCTTAGATTTGGAGATCATTAACCACTTGGTATGTGAACATCATGCTTGTCCAGCTAGAAACAAGAGTTTCAGAAGTGTCTTTTGCTATTCCATTTAACCTTCAACACATCGTGGTGGTTCAATTTCTATCTTCTAGGGGTGAGGACGCAAAGGCCAAAATGACTATATTACTATAGAAGCAATCGTAAGACAAAGAATAACTATTATATCCGCCAACGCAAACTACAGCCGTGCAGTCTCTGTGCTTTGTCTGGAAAAGCTCACTTTCAGACAAAACACAGAGATGGTGATGAGCGCTGGTTACGTACCGGGCATAGTATGGCGCGAACCAAAAGTGCACGACGAAGCGCGGGTACAGCTTGATGAACATATAATGCTAGCTAACACACGTACGTAGCCTATCAGACACCACTAGTGATGCAGTCGTTGGGTCGCGCTAGGATGCTAGACCTAACAGTAATAAGGGTTACCGAATTGAAGGGAGGACTAGAAAGAGCGATACATTCCTTCACTGCTCCGTACGTCAATCAGGATGTGGTTAGGATCACTCTTTGCAAGTTCTACCAGTTTTTCTTCCTAGTAATTCTAGATCCTGCGTCATCGCCGACCGACGCCAGCGGGAGACACAAAAATGGTGTTACCATCACGGCCCTTATGCCCAAACAAGGTGGGGAAAGCCAGGCGTTACTTTCAAGGGATATTTAAACCATTTTAAATTTTGAAGGTTTTTAGCTGGACAGAGGAATAGTCGCAATCGGTCAACGAGCAGTGCACCTGAGGTGACAAGTAAGGATGCTCATGTAGTTTTGTTGGCGTCGTTTAATCAGTTCTTCTGAGGTCGTTTATCGAGTTTACTATTGATGTTAATCAGGTTGGCTCGGTCAGACCAAAGAAGACTCATTTTGATTCTGATGGAAGGTTGGAACCTTCAGATGTCAAAGGTCTACGGGTATCGATGAAAAAAGCGAGAAACTTAGTCAACTGACAAAGAATTTCTTCCACACAGTCCGAAGTTCTCATACTTGGTTTCGGAAAACCAACACTGCGCTTCGACAAGACATCAAGTGACCAACTCTATTCAGATATTAAAGTAGCTCTGAATATCAAAGCTCACCATTCCAGTAAACCAGATTGAAGGGTGAGAGGAAACTGTATTTGCACTCTGTCGAAGGGTAGAAAAACTAACAGATATATGGATTGCGGAGGTGTGTGAGCCCAAATATTCCGTGAAAATGCCCGGTGAGCTGAGGCAAACATCCTTCAGCGTGAGACTGGATTAACAGACTAGCGGGATAGTCAACACAATGGGCTCGCCCGTACAAAAAATGTTAAATTAATGTGCTGGCGGAACTTGAACAGCGATCCAACAGGGTGGAACTCAGTTACTTGGCAGATGAATCTGATCGATCCACCCAACCTTGCGGTGTTTGGGCAGCCAAACTATTCAAAACGAGTACAGTGAGCCGAGATCCGAACGACTACAGACTACCTTAATCAGCAAATTTCGGAAAGCGTGCTAACTGGAGGCCAGTGAACCAACCAATAGAACTGAAAGTGTTCGGAACCTTAGCTTTTGTGTAAACCCGCTGTTTGGCGCAAAACCATTGGAATGGCGCGACGCAGTGCTGATGTGTGGGGAAGAATTCGAGAAGTACTCAACCGAGGTGAAAAAATGGGAACAGACATCGTCACCGTTTGGTCTAAAAAAGCAGACATTGGCCTATTAGGTGAAATATATGAAACTGGTTCTGATCTTAAGAACCGGAAAAAGTTCGGAAACGCGTTAAACGATGTGCATCTAAACAAAAATGTCAGCCGAATAGAAAATGGCACAATGGTACTGTTATTAACACTACGCCTGGGGTTGAAATTAGAGCATGAGAACGAGGTGGATGATCTGTATTCGTGCACAATCTATTGGATAATAAGGGGCAATTAGCAAACAGAAGAACCTGGATATCCTAGGCATACTTTAGGCGACAACCTCGGCAAAGCAGAGGTCATTTGTGTCCATGCGCGATCTACAGAACCATTAACATGCAGTATAGATTCAGGAACAGGAAATGAATCGAGAAAAGCAAGATATAAAGTAGACACGACTGGTATACTAGTTCAGAGAATATGGGGGACGATTCAATCTTGGTAAAGTTGGTCTCAGTGTAACGGAAAAGTTCATGAAAGAGAACATCGCTGTTGCGAAAACCCACAGGACAAATGACTGAACAATCGCCTAATGTATGTATTGGTAATCAAAAAATGACACACAAAATAAGAATGGTCGTGAAACCACAATCTCACACTAACCTTGAGCATGTTGTTTGCATACTTGACCACCATAGCAACTATGAGACCGCCGAAAGAATGCAGACCCACCAGAATCCATACAAGCCAATCAAAACCATAGAAATAGCCCTTTTCTTTGATAAGATCACCGTCTGATATCCACTGGACAATAGCCCCTGTCACCAAAGATGTTCCAGCAACCTCGATGTTTCGAAGCCATAGCGACTTATGTGGATTTTTAAACAACTGAAAATGAACGAGACGAAGTTATTAATGCAGGCGAACAATCAAGTAAATACTTTTGTCGCTCGTGAATAGCACAAATACGTTGCTGTAAAACCGCATTGCCCGTTTAGTTTTCTAATTTTCGTAGCACTAATAGGAAGATCGTGGATAGTGAAATGCACTCTTTTGCATACCAAATTGGTTTTGATGGGAGACTCACCTGGAACCCAGCTGAATACCTCGTTTATGATGTTTTTTTATAGCTCGTGGCTACTTTAAGTAGAACAGCGGCCACTGCCATGACATTGCAGGAAGTTGGGACGGCAAAACGGAGAAATGCCAGATGATGGCAGAAATTGAGTCAAGGCACAAAGACATACCGAGCGTGTGAGCAGTTTTGTCGCTAATATGCGCACATCATTCACTGTCAACTTAAGCATCTAAATGCATAAAACTAGAAGTTGGATCGCCAGGACCCAAACAGAAGTACTGATATCGCAAAGAAACGGAATGGGGAACAACTGACGGAGAAGACAACGAAGGGAAAGAAGGCAGCCAAAGCATAAATATGCCCGTGTGCCTGCCACAAATTGAGTCATTCCATATTTATTACTGTCGTTAGTATATCCCCAATCGTCGCACTGGTCTGATGTTTTCACGTTCACTGTGGGAGGGGGGTTAGAAACCCTCATTTAGCTTTCGAATTTTCCACATTTCAGTGAACTGCCAAAATAGGCTCATTTTGGTATGTCCTAGTTCTGAGGGAGAGTGGAGATCGATAAATTGACGACACCAGTAACCACATTGTTGTGGATCCGCTTTATCCCATGTTTCAGTCACACGACACGCGTATTATTCGGCGCTTATAACTACTCTTATCGTCAGAAAGTGTACGACGTTGAAACTATAAGAAGCACCTTGTCCCTCTTGAGAACATTCCATGCAAGTACACAACAGTAGAAGTATAAAATGAGAAAAATAACTACCACCCTTCGAAATGACGTCACGATTTAATTCTCACCCTCAAAAGTGTTCACCTAGCGTCAGCATTAGAATTGAGGCTTTTCTTCACTGCAATAGCTGGCTACAAGATCTTTCCAAGAAGTCGTCACTTGGCTCAAAGACAGCTTAATAAACTCGCAGTGCGAATCGTAGAAGCATTCGAGGCGGCTATCAGTCACGCCTGTGTGAAAGATACATCATTTTCGTCGCACCTGTCAATGCTGGGGCGATTTTTATCAAGACCAGTGATTTAAAGCCAGTCCTACAAAGTTAACTTTTACATCGCACTTGCGTGTTCGCAGATAAATAGACTCGTGAGTGAACAACAAATGCGTTACCATTTAGATAGCTATTCCCCTCTACAACTATTTCACCGTATCGCAGAGCAATAAACACGATAGAGTTACTCTAAAAACCACAAATTAATTTGGAGTAATTACGTTGGAAGTTATAAAGCTGTGGCAACACTTCTTCCTCATCTAGCTGTCCTCGTGACTTTATGTGTACGTATAAACCCACCTGTGTAGTTTCTTCATTTTGTGCTGCTCTGCTGTCGCTTTTTCTGCCCCACTTAAGGATGACTTTTGTTTGTTCAAACCTGAAACCCTTTTCCCGAGTATTCACATGATGCCTCTCAAGTATGCCTTAGTTTGCTTCTTCATGAATTTGTTTACGCATGCTCTACTCAGTAGTCTGTCAGCCTTTGAGACAAACTAGGAGAATGTTAATGACGCCGATAGTAAGTCTTCAGTTTTGTCCGCGGAGCTAGGCTCTTTGATTGCAAACAGTTTATTACCCACACGAATGACCATCCGCAGGTCGGAAAAAGCGTTATGTAGTAGCACACATCTGGTAATACGGATCCTTCCAGTCTAGTGGCCACGTGGCCTTTGAGCCCTTCCGTTTTCATCCATCGGTCGGTGCTCCAGTGAGCTCTTTTCTTGAGTTTCTGAGTTTCACGCTGTGGTGCTTGCAAAATTAACTTCAATAAGATTTCCGTTTTCTGCCCTGTTAGTCCGGTTAATTAGCGGATCCTTTGCACGTAGTAGTGCGTGCATTACGCCCACTTCAGTGTCATCGTGCATGCCACGTACGTGTTTAGGTGTAAATGTGCGTCTTCCTCTTACATAGTGCAGTATGTGCAACGCAAACGAGTATTACACGCGTACGATGTGCGACTGGTTAGTTTAGCGATATAATGACCTATCTGGTTCAAACAATCTCACTGATGAGTCTGAAGCAGGGCGGAACATTCCCTACAGGGCAAAACCAATGGTCTTGGAAATACATGTACCATGAAAAGCAGATAAGGCAACATATAACAAAAACCAAGTGAGACATCTCAATCAAATCAACATTCAACAGTGGAGTGAATAATCTTCCATTTTTGAATTCCCGTTCCACCGAACCCTTGAAATTTCATATCGAGGGATAACTGCCCCCATTCGAGAAACACAGTGTTATGAGGTTCACCGTGAGACACTCCAACTACGATTCACCCTATTGTACATATGCACAGTAATTTGAAGCTTTACCTGCTTCCAACGTGATAGCTACTGACGGGACACATTTTAATCAGTTCTTTTGGAAGGTATGCACCCGTCAAACGAAATGATAATAGATTAAGCACGATCAAGAGAATCGGACGCCAGGTTTTTTATGGCCGCCAGACGTAAGGGAGTGCAAAATCGGAGGCAGCACCCGCTGACATGACAGCAGAATGGACTGAACAAGTACTTTTGTATTCCCGTTAGTTCGATGCCTGCATCTGAAGGCAAATGGGATTTGCATAATTCATATCATCTTGGACTAAAGTCGCAGAAACAGGTGTCAACCATGGTGTTCAGAAACATTGTTACACAGATTCAAGTGTTTAACTATATGAACTCAAATCTAGTATCCCAACAACGAGTAAGTGTTTCAGTGCACTAAACGTGACAGTTCTGCCAGATCATTCCGCGAAAGCCACATCTCCAAAATGTGCATCTAATAAACATCGGTAAGAATAAAGACTTTTTCAGAGATTACAAGGATGCACTGAAGAACACCTAAGAAACCCGTGCGATACAGTATTCCGCGCCTGTCCGGGCAGTATCGGCTACCAGTCATATCCATGTGAAATACATGGTATCGTGAATGGTAGGTTTGATGTGAGGAGGACGGGAAGGATATTGTTAGGGATAGCAATATGCCCAAAAAACCCTGTATTTTTATGTGCTAGCGAACTTCCGGCATCTTCAAGGTCAAACTATGAATAAATCAATGGTCCATTGATATTCCAAGAAATTCAAATCCGACCACTTACTTACACGACACCAGCTTTTTACTGACTTGGTTTCGGAAGCTCGTGGCATCGCTTGTTGATCGCGTTCTTTTGGATCAGAATCTGGATCAAGCAACATAGCTGGGGATAGAGTATTGCCACAATCCGCACATCATATTGTTTGCTCGCTGCGTGACCGAACCGTAACATATTTGGCGACGGGTATGGGATGTAGAACAACTCAAAGTAATGTTTGAACAACAACTGCAACTCACCAAAGTACTCACGGAGCGGCTATCAACTACATCTTTGGTTTCACCGGCTGCGTCGAGCGTCCCACAGTCGGTTGATGGAATCGCTAGCAGTATCAATGAATTTTGCTATGAACCCTCAGCTGGCATAACGTTTGATGCTTGGTTTCGTCGCTATGAAGACCTGTTCAGGGTCGATTTTTTAGTTCAAGACGATAGTTGGAAGGTTCGCCTCCTGCTTCGCAAACTTGGACCCGCAGAGCATGATAAGTACGCTTACTATATTCTGCCAAAGAACCCGAGCGATTTCACTTTTGATGAAACGGTCAACACGCTTTCACAAATATTCGGTGAGCAAATGTCACTTTTCAACATCCGTTATCGATGCGTGAAGCTAGTGATGCAGACGACTTCCCCACATATTCTGGCATCGTGAACCCGGAATGCGAACGGTTCAAACTTGGATCGTTAACGGAAGACCAGTTCAAGTCGCTGATTTTCATATGCGGTCTACAATCCCCGAAGGATGCAGAAATCCGTACCCGACTCCTCAGCCGCATCGAGCAGGACCCATCCATGACGCTGCAGGCCGTCACCTCGGAG